TATGTATGTATGTATGTATGTATGTATGTATGTATGTATGTATGTATGTATGTATTTATTTTTTGAGGCAGGGTCTCACTGTGTAGCCCTACCTATCTTGGAACTTGCTATATGGCCCTGGCTGGCTGGCTGGCTGGAACGCAAAGAAAACTGTCTGCCTCCGCCTCCCAAGTGTTGAGATTAAAGGGGTGCGCCTCAACACCCGGCAGTAGCCATGATTTAAGACAAGCTCTGTGCAGCTGGCTCCCAAGATGTGCTCTGCCAATCTACAGCACCCCGCAGAGGCTAATGCTAGCTTTTTGTTGTTGTTGTTGTTGTTTTAAATGCCATGCTTTGGGAAGAATTCTGCCTTAAACCAGATAAACCCTGCTAAGGGTCTTTCAGAGCTGTCTGGTGGCAGGCCACCTACAAAAGCAGAGAGGTGACGCTTTGTGCTAACCGCATGACACCTCCACACCCCTCAGGGCAGGTGAGAACTGAGCTGAAGCAAAGAGCCAGCTCCCAGAGGGATCATCAGCTTGCTTCTCCTCAGAGCTGTTTCTAAGCAAGCCATTGATTGCGCGCTGGGGCCCAGCTGTGGTGTGCCCGGCAGGAGCCGCCTCTGGGGTGGGCTCGGAGGGCGGGGCGGGGCGGGGCGGGCGTCCTTACAGCTGCTGGCCGGGATTCGCTGAGCTCTCATCCACCATCCGGTCGTACTCCAGCAGGAACTCATCCAGCTCGCCCGAGTCCCCGAAGGCGCCCCACTCGGTGTTGACGCACATGCGTCCCTCATCCCCTTCCACCAGTTCCACATTCTGCATCTCCTCCATGTAGCAGGCGTTGCAGCCGGTGCCTGCGGGGGTGGGGCACAGTGGGCTGTGAGAACCGGGGATCTGACAACTGGAAGTGGATGTGAGGCGCCATGGATTTAGCTTTTTAAAACTTAAAAAGTGTTCTGTGTGTAAGTGTTCGGTCTGCATGTATGTCTGCACGCATGCGTGCTTGCTCGGTGCCCGGGGAAGCCAGAGGAGGGTGTAGATCCACTGGGACAGTTGTGAGTCGCCGTGTGGGTTCTAGGATCGAACCCAGGTCCTCCGGAAGAGCAGCAGGTCCTCTTAACTGCTCAGCCATCTCTCCAGCCCGTTTCCTAGCACGTTGTAGGCACATCTTTAGGTCTCTTTCTTGAGCCCTTTCAGGGGAATCTCAAGCCGAGAAAAACACCTTGTAGGCCCTTAGAACAGGCCAGAGGCCACTGCGGCAGAGCAGCTGCGTATGTGTGCGTGTGCGTGAGTGTGTACACGCACACCCCTAATGTTTTGTCTCCGCATGCACGTCAAGGGAATGATGTTGTAAAGAATGTGCTGTGTAGGGGACAAGCATAAGCACAGATGAGAACCCACAAATACTAACACCGGCACAGGAGACCTGGCTCTGCGGGGCCTGTAATACAGGACTTTCTAGGCAGTTAGGGCCCACGTGCATTCTGACACCCGAGTGCACAGCAGATAACTGGTTTGACTGAAGCACTGCTTCGGAAGGCTTCTTTTCTGGAATGTCCTTCCCTCTGGGGTGGGCCTAGGACCTGGGAGTCCAGAGGTCCAGAGCTGGGTCCCCTGGATGGAGCAGAAATGACACCACTCCTGCTCATTCTCTTGCACGTGGACAAACTCGTACAGTGTGGTCAATTTACTAGATAAAGTGGCTTAATTACATCCAGATAGGCAGAGCAGGTGTACATCCGGCAGGCCATCTGACGCCCTGATGCCACAAACATCGAAATGCTTCCTAATAACATTTAGTTTCTGCATCACCACACCCCCAGGGCCACCGGACCCAGGGACTAGGACTGCCTTGACTGGCGTTAGTCGTGACTGCTTTGGCATTGAGCGCTAAGCCCCAGTGCAGTCTGGGAGGGTTACAGGGGGAGAAGCCCTTACCCACAATCATGCCGACCTCACATTGGCGGTCTTCATAGTAGCAAGAGATCATTGTGGCCACTGTGTCGTTCACCATCGCCACCACATCCATCTCAAAGTCCTGCCAAGAAGGACAGAGGCCATGGAAATGGAGCTGAAGGGAGGGGCCTGTGATGGAGGGCAGGTGCCTGGGACAGCCCCTCAGGGCAGGCAGAGGTCTCCTCACCCCTCTCCTTTTGATAGCATCTCGGAGGAGTCCCACGATGTTGTTCCCTTCTGCTCCAGAGGCCTTGAAGCCCTTGGTCCAGTTGAGGAGGATGCCCTGTAGTGGTAGGAAGGCCTCATGGCTGCTGCACTAGCAGGAAGCTGTGGCCTTAAACCAACCAGGCAGAAGCACCATGACACTCCCGAGCCCTCACTTTACATTTGAGGAAGTAGACTCACATAGCTCTGAGAGGCGTTAGAAACAATTTTCTAAAAATTGTTTCCCTCTCTCTCTCTCCCTCTCTCTCAGAGGAACCCAGGAACTTGAGAACTTAGGGTAAATGCTCTGTAAACCCAGCCTAAGAATGTTGGGCAGCAGAGCTCAGGGATACGGTTCCAGAGTAGAGGTAGGACAGGTAGGTCCCTGGGAGAAGAATGCTGAATAACATTCAGGTTCCTCTCTCACAGTGAATCCTGCTGCACATGGAGTTACCCACGAGGCTTTCTCTGTGGATCTTGGGGCTTAGAGAAGGTATGGGTTTGTCTGCTGCTTTTACGCCTTGGGGTATGACCTGGCTTTATCTCTGACAGAGGTTGTGAGGATTTGTTTTAATTGTCAGCCTGACTTAATGTAGAATCTAAACAGTAAAATTGTTTAGATTAGGTTGGCCTATGGGCAGTGGTCTTGATTACACTGAGGTGGGAAGACTTGCCCCCAGTGGGCGGCTTCATTCCCTAGGCAGGGGTGTGCAAAGCAAGCTGAACACAGGCAAGTGTGCATCCTTTGCCCCTCGTTTCTGACTGTAGTTGTGATACAGCCAACCTTCAAGCTCCTGCCTCAGTGACTTCCCTGCTGTGATGCACAATAACCTGGAACTGTGAGCTAAAAAAGCACTTTCTCCTCTAAGTTGCTTTTGTCAGAGTACAGAATCACAGGAACTATAAAGGAAATTAAAGCAGACTTATGGTGTGTGTGTGTGTGTGTGTGTGTGTGTGTATGTGTGTGTGATGTAACTTGTGAGCTTGCCAGTGGGTAGATTATCAGATCTTTCCCACTTCTGACTCAGCCAGAAGCAGAGAGATATCTGTGCTCTGTGGGGAGCTGGAGCCTTCCTCTAAGCCAGTTGCCACTTCCTACTTCAAGCAACTTGCTTAGCCTGTTTCTTTATCTGCAGGGTGTGACCACAGCATGTCTCCTGAGAGGCTTTGTCAGATGGTAAGAGTCAGCGGATGTTATGTCTATTTGCCGAAGCTTTACAGACAGCGGCTGCAATTGAAATCCCTTCTGGGCTTGGGCTCTTTTGAAACATGGGCCAGGGAGCTGCAACGGAAGGCAGTTTGAGCAGAGTTCTTCTAGAGCGTGTTTTCATCCGTTTACCCCCCTCCCCTCCAGCTGGCTCACCTTGTCTATGTCTTCGTGCCTTACAGGGAAGGAGAAGGTGAAGCCCAGGGGTAGTTTCTTGTGTTTCATCTGATGCTTGTCCAGGAAGTCAGAGATGCATTCAGAGATGTAGTCAAAGAGCTAGGAGTTGCACCAGTGTGGCATTGGGTCAGGGCTGGGACAGTAGCAGATCTCCCCAGGGACTGTGCCAAAGCGTCTCTTGGAGGTGTTAAGACATTTGACCCCAGAGCCCGCACCTGTGTGCTGGACCTGTCTGCAGTTTGCTTCTCATCAGAACTCAGGCCCTGCACTTCCCCAGACAGAGAACCCTGCAAACTGCTGGCAAGGGCAAGGTGGCACAGCACAGGCTGATCCCCAGTTTAGCTGTGCCCTGACCCTCCCCTTGCCTAGTGAGGACTGGCTATCATCAAGCCTGGATGGCTGTCCTGTGAAGCTCTGGGTAGAAGCCCATTCTTGCCCATGACTATGATCTCTGTCTCTTTTGCTGTTTCCCGGGTATCCTGGCCACCCAGCCCCTGCTGAAGGCTGGGCCCTAATCCCTTCCAGTGGAATTGCTCACATGACTGGGCATTGCTGAAGGCATGTGGGCTACAGGCAAACCCTTGCCTGGCTGCTCCTCTGGTAATGAGTTTTGCCTTGTCCCTGGGCAAGGAGGGGGCAGAGTTCTGTCTTAGCCCCAGGCTCCTCTTATTTCTAGGACCCCCGTCTGAGTCTTCCTCATGCTTAGGGACCCTTGTTGCTTGGGCAGACAGTGTGGCTGCTGCCATGCCACTTGGCATACACCTCTGGGTGGGTAGTGGTGGCTTGTGAGGAAGCTTGGGCTTTGCAAGCTGCAGGAGGCCAGGCAAGCATGGCTTCTGGCTGCTCAGCTCTAAGCTTTGTTTGTCCTCTAGGAAACTGGACAGAAGCTAGCTGGGTTTTTCTCCTGCTACTGACCTTTCTTCAGCCCCTTGTAGGTAGACTGGGATTGGGACCTGGGACACTTCAAGCCTCTGAGTCACCTTCTCGGGTCTGTGATGCTGCACGGCCCACCGTCACCCCTGTTTTTGGAACCTCCCATCGGGACTGATTCCCCTGAGATCCCAAGTGACCTTGAGCCCCAGCCCTCCTTTGCCAGCCCCTCAAGCTGCTCACCATCTCTGCAGTGCCCGTCATGGCGTCCTCGGGGATGGAGTACATCTGGTGTTTCGTCTTCACGCTCCACTGCCCTGCCTCCCCCTCTCCCACCTTCACCAGCATCACCCTGAAGTTGGTTCCTCCCAGGTCTAAGGAGAGAAAGTCTCCAACTTCTGCAGGCAAAGAAAGATACGTTCAGTCTCACGGCCTACCTGACAGGCGGAATAGCACCGAGGACCCCACACATTGTGGGTGAGGGGTTGCTAACCTATGACACTGAGGGTGAGGCAGCACTAGAGCAATCTATGGAAGGGTCAAAGGTCAACTCGGGAGCATCAGTGGGAAACTCCTGCCTTAGGCAGAGCAGCCAGAACTCGGAGAGGCAGACTCTGCATAAGGAGGAGGTTCCCCAAGTGACCATAGAGACCAAAAACCAAACAAAAAAAAAACCCCACAAAATTCTCCTGAAGACTGATAGCTCCAGGCTAGGCCTGAGCTGGGCCTGGACAAACACCAGTCCAGTGATTTGGGGTTGTCATCATTTGCCTAGAGGGTCCTGTCCAGGGACAGACGAGCCCTGCGGTACCTGAGCCTTCTGGGGTAGAACGCACGTAGGTGGGCAACATCTTTACAGTGGCCTCCTCGTGGGTTTCCAGCCTGAGGCCGCGGTCCATCTCCTTCTGCATCCGCCTCATCACCTTCTTCAGGTCTTCTTCCTGCAGCTGGAACTCTGCCAGGATCTGCTCTACCTGTATAAGGAGGGAGGGAGGGGAGCAGCTGTGGCCGTCACTGGAAGCCTCTCCACACCGAGGAGGGTCTCCTTTGGTCTTCTGACCCCAGATGCAGGGTGGTCCACATCTCTCTCTTTTTAAGATGTAATTTATTATTTTTTTTCTAGTTTTTTAAGACAGGGCTTCTCTGTGTAGTCTCAGCTATCCTGGACTTCCTTTGTAGACCAGGCTGGCCTCGAACTCACAGGGATCTGCCTGCCTCTTCCTCTCTGAGTGCTGGGATTACAGGCATCTGCCACTGTAACCAAGCCTGGCTTGGTTCACATCACTTTACCATAGTTTATTTCAAGTATTCCAGGGCCAGCGCCTTAATAGCTATTAGCCTGGGTCCTCTGGAGCAGGAAACAGTGGGAATCTGGGTGGCCTTTGTTCTTAGCAGGCTCCTTGCAGAACAATGCCTGGAAGTGCCTCCCATTGCCCCTAAGAGGAGGAAAGGCTCTGCTTGGAATTTAGTGAGCTGGCATTACTGTGTGAAGAACCTTTTTTTTTTTTTTTCTACTCTAGGACCTTATGGAATGAATGGGCCAGTCGGTATGCACAGGGTAGCTGAGGCTAGAGGATCTGGGGTGACCCCCAGTCCAAGCAGGGGTCTGGCTAGCGGAGCATGGCCATCCACAGCGTGCAAGCTTTAAGTGCAGAGAGAGGACACGCAGTACAGACACGGGAGACCCGTGCCTGAAAGGCTCAGATCCGACACTGCCGTTCCTGCATGTTGGTGGCTCCAGTGTGGGCCTCACCCTCCACGTGAGAGCACAGAGCTAGCTGGACTCCCCGGGTGGGCAGCTGCACAATTCCCACTCTGTACAGCAGTGCGGGTCCATGCATATGCTAGCACGCTGGGCAGTGAGATGTCATTGCAAAGATACTTGTACTTTGAACCAGAAAGAAAAATGAGCTTGTAAAATACGTAGCTTAAAATTCTACATTTTTTTTTTTAAATGAGGTTCCGTCCTCTGTTTCTTCCCCATAAGCTCAGGGTTACAGGAATTTGGACTATAACAGGAGCATCTTCTTCCTGTTACCAAAGTTCTGCTCAGGAGAGCCGGGTAGACCAGCAAACTCTGATTAAACTAAGCCAAGCACAGAAATTCCCCCTTTGCTTGGAGCTCAGGCGTATGACTCAATTCTGATCAATGACAGGTGAAGGGGAGCCTGATTTCAGCGTGAGAGGGGGATTCGGTGCCTCTTCATGTGTGAACACAGCTATGTAAGGATGTGATGGTTGGCATTGCTGCAGCCACCTTGAGGAGACGAGGCTGGAAGGAAAAGACTGCTAGCCTGTTTCGTGTGGCAGAGAAGGGAGGTTGATGCCAGGCCTACCCAGCTTGGCGTGCAGGTTAGTCCCTTGGCTTCCTTTAACCAAAAGCATTCCCAAGAGACACAGAGCATTGATTGATTAGCTGTCCACTTTGTAAAAAAGAAGCCCCCCTTGCCTAAAGTGTAAACCCGGGGAGGCCACAAGGGTTCTGACAAAGGCACCGGGCCAGACACCAGCATCAGCTGAGCATTGGGGTGAGCGTGTAGCCAGTCACTGCTGCTGTCATCTCTGCAGAGCAGGCCTCCAAAGGCACATTCAGCACTCAGCGGAACAATCCAGTGTTCAGCCATCTAGGATGTCCCCGAAGCAACGCCCTTGGCCTCCTTTGTCTCTTTCCCAGACTGGTAGAACTTACTAAGAGAAGCAGCAACCACAGAATGCTTGTCTTCTCTCTTGAGGTACAGCTGTTCAAAGGGACCCAGTGACGGGCCAGGTATGGTGGCACATACCTCTAATCCCAGCACTCGGTAGGCAGAGGCAGGAAAGCCTATCTCAGAAACCAAATCAAACAAAAACAACCAAAGGGACCCAGTTATAACATACCCGTCGGCATGTGGCCTAAGCAAGGCGGATCCTAACAAAGGTTCAGTCCTCAGAACATGTTGGACCCCTTCTCTCCTTCTCTATCCTGGTAGCTCCTCCTAGTGACTAGAGGCCTAGACTCTGGGTTAGGGTTAGGGTTAGGATTTGGTTAGGGTTAGGGTTAAGATTGAGTTAATATTAGGGTGTGGGTTAGGGTTAGAATTGGGTTAGAGTTAGGGTTAGGATTGGGTTAATGTTAGGGTGTGGGTTAAGGTTAGGATTGGGTGAGGATTAGGGTTAGGATTGGGTTAGGGTTAGGTTAGGGTTAGGGTTAGGGTT